CACACACACACACACACACACTGACTGTGTGCGCCCTTCGCCGCCTCCCTTGAGCAAACAATGATCACAATTACGGAGAAAACGGCGGCATTGAGAGAAAGAGAGAGAGAGAGAGAGAGAGATCGAGAGAGAGAGAGGCGACGGGAGCCGGACGCTGCTGACACGGGCACGTGTTTACACGGATCCGCTTTTTACTCGCCGAGAATACGAAGGACGCGGTGCATGATGCAAGCACGAGTGAGAGAGAGAGATAGTGGAGGAGAAGATTGAAAGAGAGAGGAAGAGAGCGAGAGAGTCATAGACATTAAGAGAAAGGAAGGGAGAGAGCGATAGATAGATAGTGGAGGATAAAGAGGGGAGAGGCATGAAGCAAGAGAGAGAGAGAGAGAGAGAGAGAGAGAGAGAAAGAGAGAGAGAGAGAGAGAGAGAGAGAGAGAAAGAGAGAGAAAGAGAGAGATAGAGAGAAAGAGCGAGAGATGCGACGTGATACTTGTCATGTAGCCCGCCGCGTCCTTTCCATGTAATCTCAATTGAACAATCTAAATTCTCAATCATCTAGAAGCAGTAGTAGCAGCGCAGAGAGTGAGAGCGTAGTTTATACGCGACCATATATACCCTCGCTCATCCTGAGCGCGTATCTGTCATACAAACATCTACATGCAGCTTCATTAATCAATTCCTAGATTAGTCATTTGTTATTTGCAATCAGTAATCAATACTTCTTATATGGTATTCGAATTTGTCTGAGTGTATCACCGAAGCTAACTCCGAGTATGGCCGAAGACGGCCGAAGCGAATCCTCAAGTGGTTCGGCGACTTCGTTGGTGTTTTTCTATAGCATGGCGCGGATCATATGGCGAGAGCTCTCCCTCCGGGTAGTCGTTAGACTGACCCCCGTGTGCTAAGCAGAGCGACTGCCTGGGACGCTGCGCGAGTGTTGAAACCATAGTAATACATAGAGACACAGTCTAACTAATGTATTATTTTTACCGGTGAAACTCCGCTCAGCTCTCCGTGTGTCTGCCAGAGCCGTCTGCGGAGCAGTAGCGATACATTTGCGGTTGATATCGGCCGACAGCTGTGGGTGGGGGGAGGGGGAGGCTGAAGATGCTGGGAAGGATGAAGATGCTGGGAAGGATGAAGATGCTGGGGGAGGCTGGAGATGCTGGGAAGGATGAAGATTGAGTGCGTGAGAGTTAGCTGGAGTCACGCATAGCGATAATAGTCCCTGTTCGCTCCAACTGAAATCCCACTGGAATTTGATCAGACCAACTTCGCAGATCGATCGCAGGCAAAAGAAGGGAGAAAATATGGAAGGAAGTAAACGGAAGAGATATGGAAGGAAACAAAGGAAGGGAGGGATGAAGAGGGAACAAAAAAGAGACGGAGGGATAAAAGGAGGGAAGGAAAGAGGAAGAGAATGGGCCGAAGGAGGGAGAGAGCGACGGAAGCAGGAATGAATAAAGGGAATTCAGAACTATAAAAGAATTCGATGAAAGTAGGCATCGTGCATGCGATCAAGAATGCGCGGGAAGAGAATCGAACGCGCATGAATTCATTCCCGTCTGCTGGCGTTATCGTGGCAGACGACAGGGCGGTGGGTCCGTCCGCCCGCCTGCCGCCATTGTCAACTCTTTACTGCGGCGACCATCCACGACCATGACCGCGGCGACGGGTTTAATGTGACCCGTGCGTTGAGACTCGGCGGCCCCGCAATTTCCCGAGGCCGTGCTTTGATTTCGTTATCACTGTCGCGCGCGCAATCGTCTGCCGAGTTTTTCGAGCTGCTTCTAGAAAATTGCTGCGCGCCAGAACATTTCGTTTCGATCGCCACGCGTGCGTGCGCGCACACACGCACAAACACACATATACGCACACACGCACATGCGCATGCGTGCACACACGCACACGCACGCGCGCACACACACACACGCACGCGCGCACACACGCACGCACACACACACACACGATGCGATCGCCATCTCTGCCCCATCTCGCAGCCTCCTCCGCCGCCTCCTTCTCTACTGCCGCCGCATCGAGTGAAGCCCTACAGAGCTTCATATTGATCAGGAGAGTGACGGTCGTTCGCAGACGCCCCCACCTACCAGCGGCGTCACATGGCGGCCCGTCGCCCGGGGAGACGCAGATGACGTGTTATCTTACGTCATTGGTCTCAGCATCTCTCCGTCCGTCTGCGATCGTATCACTTATAGACGCCAACGACGGAGACGCCGGAGCCGCCATCAAAGCAAAGAGGAGGTGGAGGAGGAGGGGATGAAGATGGGGAGAGAAGGAGGTGGAGGAGGAGGGGAGAAGATGGAGGATAAGGAGGAGGAGGAGGAGAAGGAGGAGGTGGTGGACGATGATGAGGAGGAGGAGGAGGGGGAGAGCAGGATCGAAACATATACAGATGCGGACCTTGTATTATTCTATTATTCCGACAACGTATGATTGAGTGAACACGCACGCGCGCGTACGCGAATGGCAAACTGGTAAAACAACACAATTTCCTGTCGTGACCAGGCCCCGTCAGCAGACCGACATTTACTGTTCGTTAGGAGCTCAGCGTTCAATCGAACATACATAATGCCGCTGACAGCGGAGAGAGCGAAAAACCCGCACGTGCGGATCGATATACACGATGATCTCTCGCGTTTTTTGTTTTTTAACCCGATCAACCCTATCATCGTCTATATCAAACCCTTATCATTCGTCTATATCAACCCTATCATCGTCATATCAACCCTATCATCCTATTATCAACCCTCATCATCTCATATCAACCCTATCATCGTCTATTATCAACCCATCATCGTCATTCAACCTACCCTGTCATCGTCTATATCAACCCTATCACCGTCTATATCAAACCTATCACCGTCTATATCAACCCTATCATCGTCTATATCAACCCTATCACCGTCTATATCAACCCTATCATCGTCTATATCAACCCTAACATCGTCTATATCAACCCTAACATCGTCTATATCAACCATATCATCGTCTATATCAAACCTATCATCGTCTATATCAAATCATCGTCTATATCAACCCTAACATCGTCTATATCCACCCTATCATCGTCTATATCAACCCTATCATCGTCTATATCAACCCTATCATCGTCTATATCAACCCTATCATCGTCTATATCAACCCTATCATCGTCTATATCAACCCTATCATCGTCTATATCAACCCTATCATCGTCTATATCAACCCTATCATCGTCTATATCAACACTAACACACGCACGTA